CCCCACTCCCATTCCCCGGCCGAGTGAGGTTCAGTCCAGTTATCACATACGACGTATACTTGCAGGTGAACCAATACCCGACCTCTCACTCCTCACCGGAAGCTCCCTCGTGTCTTGTGTGTGCTCCCATAAGCCTGAGGGCGGGACTCCCCGAGACGAGGGCCCCAGGGGGAGGGAGGGTGGGTGGGTGTGCGCGGGCATGCGCCTTCCCGCCCGCACATGTCAGAGAGCGGGAGGACGGCATCAGATCGGATAGCATGGGAGCCTATCTGGTAGCCTTGTTTATCTTTTTGATGCAAGGAGGCTTGTCATGCATTTTTTCTGTCGTGTCCGCCACCGCCAAGCTCCTGGCAGGGGGTCGTCGATACTCCCTCCCCCCAAACGTGGCAGGCAGATACCCAAAAGGCGCCAAGCGCCAGCCCGGATGGGGCTGCTCAGGTAGTGCCTAGTCACATACATCAAGCGTGGTGGCTCGCTGGGTGGCTTGAGGCCGGGGGGCGGGACCGAAGCCCGGTTCTTCCCGGACTTCCTACCTAGTCACGGACTCGGCAGTCTACACGATCTAGTCCCTGGTGATCTTGTCCTAGTATAGAGGGCCAGCCAGCTATGGGCCACTTTGTCCCGTTTTCTCGCCAGTCATCGCTCTCAGGGGCCACAGACCAGGCTACCAGAAGCAGCATACGACAGACACTGTCGGTGTATGAAAGCATGCGAGCTTCCGTAGATATGGAGCGATAGTCCTCGCTAGATTCCACAGATCTCACCTGGAAGCACAAGGGCGCCCGGGCACATCGTCCGTGTGTCTGTTCACATGCGATTTCTCCGTCGATAGGCGGAACAAGCCCGTGTTGTAAAGCAGTGTCGTAGCGACACACAACGTAGTCTGCGTCTGGGTATATATATGGACGGCCACAAAGAAGCACCAGCACAGTCAACATGCAATATTAAAGCCGAGCTCCGAAACCCCTGCCAATCGCCTCATTCGCTATCGGATTCGTAGGCGACGAGCCCGCCCGGCGCCGCGCCCTGCGTCTCCTCCGCCTTGAGCAGCGCGGCCCGGACCACACGGGCGTCGACGGCCTGGTCGAGCGCGACCGCTGCGGCCACGGCGGCCAGCGCGGCGCCTCCGCCGTCGCCGTCGCCCACCTCGCCGTCCTCCATGGCGGCGGCGTCATCGTCGGGGCCCTCCTCGACCCTGATCTTCTTCTCGGGCGCGCGCTGCTGCCGGTGCTGCTCCGACGGCTTCCGCTTGCGATCTCGGGGGTTGTTGTTGTTGTTGTTGTAGCTTCCCTGCAGCCCACCCCTGCCCGTCGCCATGCCCGCCTTGCCGCCACCGCTTTGCTCCCGACCTCCCCGCCGGCCCGCGTTCTTCCCCCAGCCTCGCCCCCCGTTGGTGACTTCCTGTTCCGGCTCCTGCTTCACGGGCGGGGGCGGCCTGGGCGGTCGCCTGTCCCCGGCGGGCGCCTCCGCGTGGCCCCTGGGCAGCAGCGGCGGGCTGCTGCCGCTCGCGCCGCGGTCGATGGGGATGACGTAGACGGTCGGATACTCAAGCACGGTCCGCCCATGAAGCGCCTCGGTCAGCGTCCCGTCGGGTCGGATCGGGATGAGGCGCCTGGGCGGCGGGCCGGTGGCGGGGCGGAGGAGGTAGTACCGGAACCCCTTGCGCCTGCGGTCCAGGTCCTCGTCGGCCTCCCAGCCGCTGCAGGACGTGGCCGCGCCCAGGTCCTCGGTCTCCCAGCAGCCCGTGAAGGGGTTCTGCGCCGGGTAGGCCGACGCCGGCCACGTGCCGGCGCCCGAGCCGTCCTGCTGGCCCGCTCGCGCCTCGATGCGCGCCTTCTTGCGCTTCTTCTTCATCTGGCTTAGGTTGGCGTCGTCGCCGCCTTCCCCATCCGCCGCGTCCTCGATTAGCCCTTGGGCTCTTTGCTCCTGCTGGACCGCGGCCGCTCCTTCTTTTTCTTGGCCTCGGCGCACCCAGTTCATCGTGTTGGCGAAGCAGCGATACAACGGCTCCGTGTCGGAAGCCGTGTGGACTATTCTCGTCGGTTTTGCACTGAGCATCTTTCTCCTGTCAGATCCAAGCCCAGCCGTAGTGTCCCTCCCGGGCCCACTTTCGCTCTCGCTATCGCTCTCACTGCTGCTGCTGTTGTCACTGCTGCTAGTGTCACTGCTGGTGTCGCTTTCGGCATGGCCCGATTCCTCCTTATCGACCAGGTCGTACACCAGCCACTCGACAGTCCACTTAATCCCCTTGCCGCGCTTGTACCACGCCGTCTTGTTCTCGCGCTGCCGGGCCAGGCCCGTCGGGGCGGCGATGACCTCGATGTCGAGGTCCCTACACTTCGCCTTCTCGGCCTTGCCCATCGCCTGCGGGAACCAGCTGATGCGCCCATACTCCTGCTCCGGCTGCTGCTGTCGCGGGGGCGCGGCGCCGTCGACGTCCGGCATCTCCTTGTCCTCGTCTTCATCCTCCTTAGGCTGCTGCTCCTCCGTCGTCGGCTCCGCGCCGCCGGCTTGGCGGTAGTCGCCCATGTGGTCCATCTGCTGCCGCTGCCGACCCCAACTGGCCGGGTCGATGGGCACGTGTATCAGCTCGTCGCCGCGCCAGATCTTGCGGAATCGCACCTGCTGCTCCTTGGCGCCCGACGCCGCACCACTGCCACCACCACCGCCACCTCTCCCTCCCCTGCCGCGCCCCCCTCCGCCACCGCCCCCACCTCTCCGGCTATGGTTTCCGCCGCCGTTGGCCTGGTCCGGCGGCACCTCGTCGGGCGCGTCGACGGGCGGAGCGATCCCCGTGCGGCCTGCGACGTCGCGGGCGGCGCGGTCGCGGGCGCGCTCGATGGCCGACAGGAAGTTGTAGTCGTGGTCGATGCCGGCGGGGGTGCGTAGGCGCGAGGCCGGCACGAAGGCAGCCGGGTCGCGCGCGCCGCTGCAGCCGGCCCGGGACTTGTGCTTCGTCACGCAGGCCAGCGAGCACGTCCGCGCCGCGCACCGGGGGCACCGGTACCTGGGCGCCGAGACGTGGCACACGCCGCACAGCGCCGTGAGCGGGGTGGCATCGTCGGCCGGGGTGGTGGTGGCCGCGGCGGCCGTGGCGGCCGTGGGGTGGGCTGACATGGTCGAGGGCCGAAGAAGCAGAGTGGCTTGCCCCTTGGAGGGTATTTTCAAGCCGGCATTCGAGGTTGTCGAGCTTCAGTGCGTTGGGGATTCGTTTCGGAACAGGACTGACGATTCTAAAATAAAGTATAATGGCAGAAGCCAAGACAGGGAAAAACAATACGCTTGCTAACAGCCCATCATAGCCGCAGGGGCAAAAAACAGATTCGTCCAAGTCGAAGTTAGGGTGCAGAAAAAACACAGGACGACCAAAGCCAAAAAAAAAAAATCATGACTTGACGCGATCGCGCCGCTGAAATCATACCTAGCTCAAGCCCCGCCTGCAACGGTGGGACGCATTGGCACATGCAGGCGAAGCGGGGCTGGTGACAGTCCTTGCGTCGCAGGTACAACAATGTAATGAATGGCGACGGACAGCGGCAGTAACAACGGTCCGTGTAAGGAAATGGTTCAGAAAAAGACAAATTCATTTTTCTCAAAGTGTAGATACAGGATCAAGGCAGGAAGGAAGAGGAGTCACTACGAGAAAAAAGAAGAAAAAAAGAGAATGTGCACCCAACGCGGGACTCGAACCCGCAGCCTTTGGATAGGCTCCCTCACCACTTGCTCATTGCTGAAGCAAGGGGATATTAGAAGTCCAACGCTCTACCATTGAGCCAGCCGGGCCAATTAAACTTCGTTGTGGGTCATTGACTGAAGATTTGGACTGTTATATGTGCAGCACGTTCAGTGTGAGGAATGGAATGATGGGTCCAAAAAGTCATGCAGGTACTAACACTGGGCTCAGGAGTCACCACCAACACCACCATAAACAACGAGGACCAGGGCAACAATTACGTTAGTCGCAAGGCAAGAAATGAGTGAGGCAAAGCCCGCCGGTTGAATTACGTTTTTTTTAATTGTTTTTCTTTGTCAGACTACAGGCATGTGGGCCAATCTAGCGAAGAACGAAATATCCAAAAAAAAAACAAAAAAAAAAAACGACAAGTTTTACCAAGTGCAAAACGGGGTGAAGAAGCGAAGAGTCAAGCTCAATATGGTATAAGGCAACAAAGTGTCCAGAATTGGAAAGAAGGACGCAAGACAAACATCGAGTACTTGGCGAGATCAAGATGGAGCAGTGAGTTCAAATACATTGGCTTCCTGAGACAAGTAACTGGTGGGATAAGCGTGAAGAAGAGGAAAAGAAAACCAGATACATAGCAAAATGATGACGAGAAAAAAAAAAATGTAGGAGCAGGTATACTAGCTATGCAACGCTGACTTGAAGCGCTGGATGGCATATTTTCGCCTGGCGACATCATCCCGGTCTTCGTCCTCCGCGACCGTGCCCGCCCGCATGCTTTTCCTCGCCAGCGTCTATGAAAGACGGTATTAACCATGACACACGAAATAAAGGACAATACGCCACCCAGAAAGATAAGCCCGACTGGGAATAAGAACTGAAGGAAAGGATGCATTCGTGCAGTGGATATTCAACGACTCAAGGGTAAAAAGCATAAGCCAAAGGGTTTAACGGGTGCCACCAAGGGCGCTGATGCGAGCACCCGAAGGGCGGTGAATGAGGCTCGCGGCGTGCTTGCCGACAACGCCAGGCACCTGATGGTGCGAGACAGGCATGGACTCGGACTCGGAGCCGGGCTCCTCGAGATCCTCGTCGTCCTCGACGATCTTGGTGGGGATGTCGTGGCCGATGACCCATTGCTGCGACGTCCTCTCGGGGGTCGTCATGATGGAAGCCATCGACATGGCTGTGCTGGACCTGTTGGGGATCAGGTCTGGGGTGGGAGGGATGCTCGAGGCACGGCCCGAGGGATTCAGCAACATGCTGTCGTCACCAACGTCGGAAGCCGCCGACCGGCTGCCATCGTCGCTCGCGGTGACCGAGAGCGCGCTGGCCCGGCGCATGTTGTGCTCGGTGCTCTCGATCTCGGCGTCCTGGGCCAGGGCCAGGCCCTCAACAGCGGCCTGGCACTGCTCCGCAATGTTGCGGATGATGTGCGCAATAGCGTCCGTCTTGTCTTTAAGGTGACGATCAGCCACGTCAGCGAAGCTGGAGGATGAGAAGCGTTGGCTAGCCTTGGACTGCCGGCCATTGCTGCTCATGTCTGTGGAAGAAGAAAGAAGGGTAGGGTTAGAAATGTGCAGGCGGAACGGATGACGGGATGATTAGGTGATATTAAAGCAAAGTTTGCGAGGATAATGACGAGTTCGGTGCTGTATGCTGTGTCTTGATGTGTAATAAAACTTACCAGAAGCGTCGTCGAAGCCGTTCTCGATGTCGTGGCTGAGGTCATCGGGCTTGGTGAGGGAGTTGACAAGGTGCTCCATGTGGTGGCTCTGGCCGCCGATCAGGCTGCGAAGGTGCAGCACCACACGACGCGCATCGTCGCGCTGCCTCAGGATGGTCATGTTGGTGTGCTGCAGAGCAGCCAGCTCCTTCTTGTTGCGCTTGCGCTCGCGCTCCAGCTCCTCGGCGATCTCCTGTTGGAGCACCAGAGCCTCGAGCGCATCGTCGCGCTGCTTCTCCGTGCCAGCCAGGCGCACCGACATGCGGGCCGCATCGTCCTTCTGCTGATCCAGGAGAGTGGCCAGGCGGCGGTTCTCCCTCTTGTGGCTCTCGATCTTGACCTTGAGATCCTGCGTCTCCTTGGTGAGGGTCTCGGCGAAAGCCTGGAACTTGAGGAACTGCTGTTTCCAGCTCTCGAGCTCTTCGACCAGGTAGTTGTTACGCTTGGTGACCTTGCCAAGCTCGGTATCCATACGACCCTTGAGGTTGATGAAGTCCTGCCAAGCCTCCATGGCGTCCCTGGAGTACTGATTCCTCTCGCGAACAATCTCGTTCAGGTGCCTCATCGAGACCTTAGTCATGAGGGGCTTCTTGACAGCGCCGCCAAAGACAGCCTTCATGCCGGTGTTGCGTCCCATCTTTTCGCAAACGTGGTCCATAACAGCCATGACGGCGTCCTGGTTCCACCACTCGGGGTCTTGGATGGACTCAACCTCACCACGCATGACAATGATCTGGCCGGCCGGGACCAGCTTTCCGCCACCGTACGCCGAGCGAAGATGCTGCGGCGCGCCGGATGGCGACACATCGCCGTTCAGCGACTGGGTTAGGCGGGTGACAAACTTGTTGCGCTGGCTAGGGTTCAGAGCTGTGGGCGGGCTGGACGTGAGAACAAAGTTACGGTCCAGGTCAACAACCAGGGCATCCGTGGGCGCCGTGAAGAGGGTGCGGCACTCGGCGGTGATTCCGAGAATGTACGGGCCAGGCTCCTGCACCAGCTCCTTGGCGTGACGGGCGTGCACAACGGGCACGTACAGGCCACTCCACTCATAGACGCGCACGCAGAAACGGATGGTCTCTGCAGCCACGGTCAACATAGCCGGGTAGTGGCTGACAAAGATGATGCGCCGGGTGGGGGAGATGGCAGCCTCGATCACACCAACAATGTTGGGGATCGACAGGCAAGAGAACAAGGGCCACATGGCGAAGTTCTGGAAGCCGGTGGGCGACGAGGGGAACTGGTAGCACAAGGCGTAGTCCTTCATGTCGATGCGTACCAAATCGTTCAGCCTAGGGGCGGGGAAGCTCAGAATGCGCGAGACCTCCTCGGCGTGGAAAAGGTTGGTAGCCTTGTTCCAGTGAATCCACATGCCTCGCAGGTAATCGCCCAACAGGTTGTAAAGAGGGTAGCGGGACAGGAACGACAGGCAGTACGGGATCCAGTACGTCTCGTCGGGGTTGTCGTAGAAGTCGGGCTCAGTCCTCTTACGGAGATCCCTGATGGTCTCGGCCCTCTTCTCGTCGGCGCGCGACCACACCCTCAGGCAAATACCGTAGAGTGTGTGAGACGAGTCCTGCTGCAAAACGAAAGCGTGGTGCACGCAGTGCGGCTGACTCCGGCCGGTGCAGATTTCAACGTCGTGCGGGAAGCAGGCCTATGCCAACAAGCTTTGTTAGAAACTGCTGGTCCACAGACGTAGTAAATGTTGTCGGCACAACAAGGCGCTCGCTCAGCCGGCGCCACCGGTCGATGTCACAGGCACTATCGACTTACCCTCATGGCAGCATGCAACGACCGCGCAATCTCATTATCCTGCTCAAGCCGCGGGCTGCTGCCGAGAATCTCGGGGAGCCAGAATTGGCCGACAGCGCCCTTCATGTGCCCAATCTTTCCCTGGGCCGGGGCGGGAGCCTTCACCCATTGGGAAGGCTCGCGGCCGACACCGCAGACCATGTAGGCATGTGTGAGGGTCTTTGGTGTCCTCTGCTGAGGCTTGACGTTCAGGCTCGAGGGGATCGGCTGGGTGATGCGCGAGTGGAGCGAAGAGGTGCGACTGGGTATCATCAGGTTGGCGTCGCTGGCCTCCCGGGTCATCGGGCGACCGTCCCGGTCCCGGTCCCCTGTCCGGGGACGGGTGAAGGAGGTGTGTGCGGTGAGAGAGGGAGCCATTGCGTCGGTGGTGCGTGGTGATGGCGCTCTCCTGTCGTGGTGCGTCAGGAAGACTCGGGGGTCAGGGGCGTCGAGGAACCGTTATTCCAGTCCCGAGGGTTTCCAACTGCAGCGAAGCAGTCGGGTCTAGAGCAAGATCAAGAAGCGAAGGGGCTGATCAACAGTAGGCGTGTGTCGGTACTAGCAGGTAAGCGATAGTGCAGGATATGTCGTTTTCAAAGGCACAGTCTTCTCGAGGAGCTCAACCCGAGGATTCTCGCCTTCACCCTTCGCGTCGAAGCCGGCTCTGCCAGGGAATCGGCAAAGAGTGACCTGCGACAGTGAATGAGGGGGGTGATGGTCGAGGGGCAAGGGGGATGACCTTTCTCGGATGGACGAGAGAAGAGGGTGTAAGGAGGGACAATCAAGAAGAAACAGAAACAAAACGAGGCCGAGTGAATGGGAGGACAACCACAAAAGAAGGGACGGGAGGCTCCAGAAAAGGAGTGGGCCAGGCTGGGCAGCTAGTATCGAGGCGTACGTGGGAGCGAGCGAAAAAGGGGATGCTTGCAAACGGGCGGGGGTGTCTGTGATAGCTCTGCGACGAGAGCTCCGGGGGGGTGCGAGGAGGAGCGCACCAGGCCAGGGGAACGTGGGAAATAAGGTGGAGCGAGCCAAGGTGGGATGGGCGACAGGGGTTGTGGGCGACCCGGACACCCAGACAGTGGTCCCCACTGGTTACGCGACATGGAAGCCCCAAACGGATGCCGTTGCCGGCACTTCAGGCGACGCCCCCGCCAATCATGGCGGCCGCTGTGCTGCGTGCGAAGGGAAGTTGCACTTCGCCGACGCATGCAATTGTAGTTATTATTGAATGAACGTGAATCGGGGGACAGATCTTGGTTACGCTCGAGTGTTTGCTTTGTTTGTGTGTGGTTGTGACGGACACAGACACCCAGCAGCCAGCAGGTAACCTCCCGTCGTCAATGGCTCTGTCAATCGCCTCGTCAATCGCCTCCGACTCCATTGATCATTGATTCCATTGATGCATGTCTGGTGCTTGTGCGAAGCCAATCTCTCAGCCCGATGTCTCTCGTCGTCACCAGATGTTTAGGCTCTGACAAGCAGTGGCTTTCTCAACTTGCCACAGCTCGTTCTGGAAAGCCCTTTGCGCCTGTCGGGAGGCAGGTAGCAGCAAGACGAAACAGAGCCAACAGGCGTGGGATCCTCGGAAGTCAGGGGCGCCAGCCGGGCCTCGTCGGCCCATGACCAGTTGTGACCAGACCAGTGGTGATGGATGCTGAGACCAAGCCCGACCAGGGCTGAAGCACCCCAGACCCCTGCCCAGTCCAATCTTGGGCTGGCCCACCCGGGGCCGCGACAAGCCAATTGCCAGAGGCTTGAGCTGTGCTCCCCGACAGGCGAAGAGTTCACAATGACACCCGCCGCTGTCACCTCAAGATTGCGCCCGTGCATCCGAAAAGAAACAAGAAAAAAAATCTCCAGACGGACCTAAGAAAAAATAACGTCACATTCAGTCGGCCCTGCTGGAGCTAAACATGGAACTCGATGTGCCAACAGCGATGTCCGTGATTCAGCAGCCCCCCTCTCAGGCTCATACACAATGAACCATAAACGGTACAGATCACAACACAGGCAGGGGCTTGGCTGACGGCCCCAATACACAGCACAGTAGCACCACGCAGACAAAAAATGCTCCGCCCCTCAAGTACCGGGCGTTGCCGCGAGCACACGCTCTAGCGATTGGCTGTTCAAGCGGTGCTTGGGCCCCGTCAACCTGCGTCTGGTTCACTCTCCGAGTTCCCTCGGTGAGGCGGCGAAGTCGCCGGTTCTGGCCTGGGTTTTGTTGTGGTTGCTTTTTCCAATTTGTTTTCCTTTTCTATAATCGTGCGTGATACCGAGGCTATCCTGGCCACACCCGTTCATGCCTCTCTCTGCCCCTCTTTTCTCATTACTTTTCTCGTCGCTTTTCTCCTTTCTTCTCCCTAGTGGTGAGTGAGCCTGTGGCGTGCCTATGCAATCTGGTCGCTATCTGGTGGGGAGCGGCCGGCTGAGCGTCCGATTGTTTCACTGGCTGCCTCCACCGGGTTCGCTGCGGGCAAGCCATGTCTGAGTAGGTAGGAAACCGATGGTGGCATCAGAACAAATAACGTGTGCGACTGGAAACATGGAAGGATCGCCTTGGTGTCTCAGTTATTCATGCGCCTACTGTTGAACGAGCCTGAGCCATCCGAAGAATAGAGCTCACCACGAGGGACACAAGGAAGGGCGATAAGGTGACGGGGAAGAAGCTTGCCTGTCCTGCCAATATGGCCTCCCTCCCTCCCATGCAGCCACCATCCCCCTATCGGTCTCAGCTCAGCTCGCTCGATGGCATTCCAGCCCGCACGGAGCCTATCGAGTCCGAACGATGCTTGGGCCTGATTGGATCGCCCGCAACGCCCTGCGCACAAACCTCACGATCCCGCAGGCGCACTGTTGCACACTGTCGGCGCCACGCGCGCTTTGACTCGCCACTACGGGTTTGTCGAGCAGTGCCGTGAGGGGGGCAGGCATCCACGCACCACTGGGGCGTGCCTGATCCTGGCGCTCGCTGCCTCCCACGTCTTTTTACCAGGACCCGAGTCGAGCACTCCAGCTGAAGAGCTTCGGCCGCCTGGCTGACTGGAGGCCTGGTGGACCGTCCCAAACGGTAGTAACAAACGGGTCCCACGTCTGCGGCTTTGTTTCCCTTTTCTGCCTTCTTCCCGTCGGGAGGGTCGACAAAGAAAAGGCCAACAAAAAACAAAAATGCCAGCCTCGATCGAGTCCGGCAAATATGCAGCCAGCCAGCCCAACCAGCCAGCCATGAACAACACAGATCGACCGAGGACCTGTGCTGCCGTGGTCGAGATTTGGAGCAATTTTACCACAACCCCCTCGTCCCGTCAAACGGCTCTTCCGTATGGTCTGGGGGCGCCATACCACCGTCTGGCCCTTGCTCGCAAACGGCCATCAGAGGGCTAGCACGGGGTCCTAGCGCGTGGTTGACATTACGAACATCGGCGGATTATGACTGCAGGACTAGTGCTGCCTTGTGCTAGTCCTTAGTCGAGCTCCTTTAGGTGGGCTTTGGTGGGCTTCATGATAGGTCATATTATGCTCGCCTGTCGTGCCCTCGTTGCTTTTTTCCAATCGAGCGGCCCGAGGGCCCATCCACCAACCCCTTCACGCCGCCTAAATAAAAAGCGATACACCAAATGATCAGAATGTGGGGAACTTGCCCCAAGCACTTTCACAGCGAAAACACCGGTAGCAAAAAACAACTTCGAAAAATACCCAATACACAGCTAAATAAATAAAATAAAATAATACAAACAATGGCAGCATTTATTTACATACTCAGTTAGGTTTCATTCTTTCCTTTCGGCGATCGAATAAGTTGAGAAGGAATGAATGCGCTCGATAAGGTCACTTTTTTGGTGTATCGCTTTTTATTTGGCGACGTGCCCTTGCTGATCACCCGTGTTCGGATGCAGAAGACAGGAGAGGAATGTGCTGGCTGATGTTGCGCTCGGACCGTTTCTATACATGTGAAATACGCAATCTTTTTGTCCATTTCATTACTGTGTACCCGGGCATGACGAATAACGGCCTCGAGAAGCGAGCGCAGTGGGAACGTTGGCGTATTGCAGATACGTGCAAAAGCAAGGTGAAGCATTTTGGCGAGAACCCATTGTGACATGTTTTTTTGCTTGTTGTTTTGTCGTGTCTCGGCCCGAGCCCACGCTCGATTGCACTCCATCAGAGCAAAGCAGCAGCTCGCACGTCCCATAACGGCCCGGCAGGCAATGGGAGCGGCCAGGACGGGTATTGTGTATGCACATTCCACAACAGACAACCAGTCGCATCGCCCGTCTGTGCTGCCATGCCATGCATGACGATGGGTGCAGAAATGAGTTCGGGCGCTATTCAAACGGCGGCGATAGAGACAATAAGCCGGCTGTGACGGTCAGCCCACCCAAATGTCAACATAATACATAGTAATAACATCCTCATAAAATTACTTAGCGTCCGTGCAAGGTGGGGAATGGGCGCAAGTTTGACTGGCACCTGGGAGACGTGCCCCCCAGTTTAACCGACTTTTCCATGTCTGCCGGCGGGCAGCGGCCAAGTGGCGCCGCAGCACGCACGCAATCTACAGCATCGCATGGAAACCAGGAACACGTTGGTATTTGATGGCGAATGCTGCGGCAGGCCCCTGGCAACAGCCTTTTTGGACTCTCCATGAGATGCAAACGGCGGCACCTTTTTCTTGTGTCGGGCTTTTGAGCAGTGGCCGGCATCTGTGATGCGTGGTGCCAGCGTGAATCGTGCCATGAGCAATGTGTGAGTGTGTGAGTATGTGTGTGTGTGTGAGCCACGCCAATAAGGGACAAGTCTGTAAAATGTCTGGCATCTTGGCGTGGAGCTTTAAAATGTCCACGGTCATGCCACATGCGTCTAAGAAGGAAGTCCTGCTTCTTAGAGCCTATTCTGAACCGGTATTTGTATCTCGAGAGAGTGATATTTGATAGTTACCTCGAGCGGGCTCTGGTTGGTATCTGATGCAGAGAAACGGTGTGGTTTAGAACGAAAGGTCCGAGATAATGATATATTGGACAAGCGTATTCCCATTCCACCGAATACGTGTGAGAAATAGTCCAGATTACACCATGTTTCCATCTCATAGTCTCTTGCTGATGGCTCTCGTGCTGCGGGAAATCATAAAAAAGCCACAGACCCAAGTCCACAGCAATAGTCTTTATATGTACTTGGACGTACACAGGCAAGCCTCTCGGATGGAAAGCAGCACTGGTGTGTTGGGCGCAAAAAGGCGGCGGTGTGGTCGACGTGAATGAAGCCATAGAGACATATACTATATGCTGATTTTAATAAATACACGCTGACAACCTCCCATATAATGATCGCGTAGCTAAACAAGCCACATACAAGCAAGAAGAACAAACCCGTGGTATCATATCATATCATAGCCCCGAACCCTTGTGACCCCTGATGCGCCCGTGCCTCACCGCCCCGATCGTGACGCCCTCCTCGCCCGTCATCCAGCCCGGCATGCGCTCGCCGTCGATGGCCCCGGCCTCGACCAGCTGCCTGATCCCCGCAAACACGTGGCTGCCGCGAAACGTCAGCTTGACGCCCGGGCGCCACCCGGACTTGGACGGCGGTTGTGCTGCTGTGGAGTTGTCGCCTTCTCCTGCCGCTTGCTCCTCCCCACCGCCGCCACCATCGTCGTCATCGTTGCTATCGCTCTCTACTAGCAGCGCAGCCTCCCGCTCCAGTGCCGCATCCAGGGTGCTCCGCCGACCCCCGGCCTGTCTTCCTCGGCCAGCATTTCGAGGACGACGCCCGGCCTCGGCACCAGCTGCCGCGGTGGACGACGGTTGGGGAAATGTGTCCTCGATGGCAACGTCGACCCGCTCCACGCCCAGCCCATCACCGACCAGGCTCGACGTTCCGAACCGGGCGCGCGCTACTAGTCTCCTCCGTTTCGCGGCGCGTTCCTCTGCCGACAGGGCAGCGGCAGCCCCTCTCAATTTTATCCGGGCCGCGCCCCCCTTCGAAACACCATCGCCGCCCTCGTCCTCAGAGACGGCCGACGAGAGGGGCGGGGTTGGCAAGGCCGAGTCAAGCGGCGATTCGCGGACTTTCTCATCCCCGTAGGCGCTGCCCCAGCCGCCTCCTGCGCTGCCGCTCCCGCCGCGACCACCTCCACGCCGGTCGACAAGTTCGGCCATGTTCCTGGTCGAGAGGCTTGTCGGCCTGAGAGCGTAGCGCTCGCCCGGTCGGGACAGCGCCTTGGGGATGCCCTCGACCACGAGGGAACGCAGGCTCTTGGCATCGCCGCCGCCTGCGCTGGCTGATGACGCGGTCATGGTGGAGGCGGAGGTAGTAGTGGCGGCCGAGACGTAGATGTGGGCCGAGGCGTCCGGAAACGCCACATAGACGGTGCGGGCCGTATCAAAATTGCTAGGTGGCATGGTGGCGTCTCCTCCGGCGTTTGCTTGGCTATCGTCGTCGCCATCCCCGCCTCCTCGCCGTCGTTTTCGCTTCCCCCGGCGACCCCTGCCCCCGGCCGCCAGCTCGGTGGCGTAGGGGGTGTCGAAGATGAAGATGCGGAGGAGTAGGACGGGCAGGTCCCGGTGACGCTCGAAGGCACAGTGCGTCTTGACGTCAGGTGGCAGCAAGCCCTGGAGCGAGCGTAGGAACGATGGCGGGTGAATGCGCGGGATAAGGAGCGACGCGCCGTCGACCTCGAGGAGCGGCTCATAGTCGTTTTCTTGGGCTGGATTCTCGGGCCGCAGCTTGAGCGAAACAACCCTGAAGGCGGACCAGCGCTGCGACAGCGGGTGGTCGTGCAGGTACTGTAGGTCGGCCATTGCGAGTTGGTGAAGTGTCAGGCCGCGGCGCCAGTCGCCCTCGAGGATGCGGTCGGCTAGCTCACGGCGTGACCCGCGCGTGTTGCCGGCCTGCAGTTGTGCATAGACCTCGCGGAGGTCGTCTATGGTGCGAGAAGCCGGGTACATGCTTCCCTCGTCATCGTCATCATCGTCCCCGTCGTTTTGCTCGTCCGAGTCGTCGAGTACAATCTCGTTTGCATCCGCGCTGCCGCCGCCAGAGCCATCGCTGGACCTCCCGCTCTTGCGCCGGAACCTCCCCGTTCTCCTCCTAGGGGGTCGCAGGTAGGGGGCACTGAGCAGGGGGTCGTCGGTGTCGTTGAGCCAATGGACGGCGAGGGCGAGGAGCGAGGCGCGCGACAGACGGCCGATCAACTTGGCGACGACGGGGTGGGAGGGCTCGAGGCGCAGGGAGCCGGGCAGGCGGGCAGTAGTCGGGATGGAGACGTGGGCGGCCATGTCGTTAGGTGTGCGGTCTGGCCAGCGCTCACATGGTTTTGATATTCGCGGGGCCGGAGCATGGATGCAAGGCCTGTGTGGAATTGACCCGAGTCCCGCTGCCGTGCCGGGATTTGCGGTTTCTGGCTGTTCCTGGCTGGACGCGTCGCGTCCGGCCGACAGCGTGTTTTTTGCCGGCAGTTGGATCTGTGCACGTGCACGCTCGGCTTTCCGTTTTGGCTGCATGGGAGGCGGAGCCTGGCACCCCGCTATTCGCAGACGATCCTGTAGTCTGGAGAGCTGTTGGCACATCACAGCAACGGCTGGCTTTTACCCAAACGAGTAAGAGATACATGTTGACTGGGCCTGGGCTGCTGGCCAAGCGTGAAGTGTTGATCGAGTCGTTGTGTTTCACCAAATGCCAGCGAGCTTACCTGCAAAGTTGTTCCGAAGCCGCCCTCCCGCCGTGCCGCTCAAAATGAGCGAATTCATCTGCAAGCCAAGCTTTGCCTGCAGGAGGATAAAACGCCCAACACCGTCATTTGGCCGCCCACTAGGGCACTGATTACAAAACCAACAGGCGCCTTCTGCTGATTTTCACAGCAAACCCCACTTGACCGACAATTTCCCGGGAGTGCTGACCGGGACCTGCGCCGGTGCCGTCCAACCCCGGGCGTGCTGCATATTCACTGCTTGCTACATGCATATTTTATTGGCCGGATTTGAAATCAACTCCCGCCAGGCTCATTACAGGGATGCCTTACCCCGCAGCTGGAACTGCGCACAGTTTGTCAGAAAGCTCGGGGTCCTAAACCTGTGCCACGGAACTGGATCGGTTCTCGGCCATGGGATGATTCGGGATAAGCATCTTTTTTGTTTTTTTTGTTTCTTTGTTTTTTTCGATTCCTTACGCCGGGAAAGCCTACCTCGTCGGCACCTACTAGGTATAGGCAGGATATGAATGGGTGCCGTTTTATGGCGTCTGGAAACGTCTCTAGACCCTTCTTGGCGCACTATGGCGATAGACATGTGATTGGCTACATGTGTGCACCTTACTCAAGCTGTTCATCCGTCACATTGATCGATCGGGTAAAAAGCACGAGAGGTCAAAGATGCGTGCATGTGGTGGTCGCAGAATATGGGGCGCCAAAACACTTTGCCGCTTGCGTTTCTTTGCCTCGCCCGTTGGTCAACAGCACCTTAGTGCCCATCCAGCTGCCGATTGATTTATTCTGCGCCTCTGTCGTCGCCCACCCCCGGCTCTGCATCGGCCTCTGCTTTTGCCCGTTTCGAGTTGCACCTGACGCTGCCGTTGGACCAGAAGCCTCCTCTTGGCGGCAATCGGACGACCCATCGCCAGAAATAAGCTGACAAGGAAAGGCCGCCGCAACGCCCGCTTGGTCACCCTGGTCGCCAGCCTGTGGTGAACAAGACCGTCATCGGAACGAAAGAAAGTCAACGAACTCATCAAAGGAAAAGTCGCAGGGTGCGGGTCTAGATCCGCTTTTTTTGCCTCTCCATTCCCACTCCGCCCGCCCGACCCCCTCCTGCGACCACGTTACTCGCGCCCTGTTTTGGACGAATATTTTTTCTTTTCACAACCCACATCCCGCACCACCTGGCAGCTCTGTTTCTCGAAGACCAACCGACTGGAGTGAAGACAAACGAGAAAGAGAAAGGAAAACCAAAGGCAAATCGGAAGAAAGAACAACCACGCCATCTCATCGCCACAGCCACTGAACACACCGACTACCTCGCGCCAACAGCCATAGCCATCGCCCGCGTAAACCACCTGCACGCGGGACTTCTACCCACCGCCGAACTCAACGGCCTGTTCCGAACTTGATATACCAGACAGGAGCCCGCTATCAGCCCGGAGGCGCGTGAAGCCTCACTCTCGCACATTCACACCAGACCGGAGCCGACTCGGCTGCAGACCTTCGAAGGATAACAATGGCGGGCTACGCTGGCAGGCGGGGAGCGCCAAACGTTTCCCAATATCTCCGCGAGCTCACCAACATCCAACCGGTGACCCCGGCGGCGACAACAGGCCCGGAGGAGGGATTCAGCATCGACGACGATCTTGTCATGTTCACAAACACGCAGTTCTTTGACTTTGAGACGGGTCAGAACACCGACTACCAATCGCACCCGGCAAAGCCTGAGAGCGAGCCTACACGATCTGAGCTGCTGTCAAACTCGGCTTCAGCTTCGACGACAACCGTGGACGACTTCAGCACCCTTGATTTCATGTCAGGTCAGTGCCGCTCTTTGCTACTCACCGGCTTGCCTATCCTCGCAAACACCACCCTGCGCTGTTGCCTGTCTGGCACCGCACAAAAGTGTCACTCCCGAGCATCTATCCTCCCCTCCATATCTTGTTTACCCCTACACCCACCCTTTAACTGTTGAAACTCTATCTCCCGAGCCAATAACCATAAACTCGACCACTTTGCTTGCCGCGATCGCCATGAACGTTGCTGGCAGGGGCAAGCGCCTCCCAGTGATCATGTTTGGCTATTTACAAGCCAGCCCGCCTAGCTGCCCACCCTCATACCCGAGTTAGCCGTCGATGAAGGCGCTGGTTGGGTTTCTTAGTCCCTCATGCCCGCAACCCAAACACCTCACATTCCTCTCTTTCTTTCTTGTTGCATCTCCCGGATGATGTGGATGCGGGCACGTACAACGGCACGACCTCTCCCCCCACCCACGGTCTAGCCGCCTCGGTCATGCACCGGCGTCAAGGTGACAGCAGGCTGGACGCACCCGGGCCGCTTGATTGGAGCCGTCCAGATCATCCCGTACAACCACATGTCCGACGCGGCTGCCTCTTTCCGCCTACTGCTGGTTTTGGCGGGTTTTCCGCCGGGATTATGCAGCAGCAGGAGAGAGGGGGAGTGTGATGCTCTGTGGGGTCCTTCCCTCACGCCCGCCTCTCATTGGGCTGACAAATGTCAGTCATTTGTTGTCTCGATGGTGCAACTCGATGGCGCAATCCCCCGTGACTGGGGAGCCCAGCCCAAAGCAACCCTGGGAGGCAAGGCCAGCCCGCTGCGGGATACGTACCGCCTGCAATTGATGCGACTGCAGTGCGATGGTACCGACGGTAGTTCAGCCCTCAGTGCTTGCCGCCTCTGGTGCGAGTCGCTCCTACACGGAATATCTGCATCGCGCCTTGATGTTCCTGTCGTCGACGATTTATCTTCCACTTCATTTGCCTGTTTTTCGTCTGTTGTCTTTTTGTCCGCCGTCACCCTTGGTTCTTCGCCTCCCCCGACAACTCGGATTTCTTATATCCACCCGGTGCTCCTATTTCTGGCTTGGCCGTCGTCTACTCCTGCTTTGTTCCATATGTTTTGGCTGCGAGACGCCAATAACCCCGGCTGACATGGAATAATAATGTCCGCAGGCGACTTTAACTTCCCAGACTTTGGCGCGGCTTACACATCGCCGACGCTACAAACCTACTCGGACAACATAAACGGTCTTCAGCCCCTCCAAACCGGCGCGCAGTCAATATATCCTGTACCTCCAACACACCGCTCGCAGCAGCAAAATGGCTACACGCCGGCCCCACGCCAGAGACCTACTCCTGCCAAGGCCTCCTCGCCCGAGTCTTCCGTCAGTCCCAACCGTCCGGTGAGCTTCGAGGATGCTTCGCGGCTAGCAGCCGAGGAAGACAAGCGGAAACGCAATACGGCTGCGAGCGCACGCTTCCGCATCAAGAAGAAGCAGCGCGAGCAGGCTCTCGAGAAAAGCGCCAAGGAAATGAACGACAAGGTGGCGACGCTCGAGAGCCGCATCTCGCAGCTTGAGACGGAGAACAAGTGGCTCAAGAATCTCATAATGGAGAAGAACGACGGCAACGAGGATATTGCGAAGCTCTGGAAAGACTTCAGCGCCAAGCACAAGGCCGGCCTCAAAGGCGACGGGGGCAAGGCTGCTGCCAAGAAGCCCGTGCCCGCCTCTCCAGAGGAGCACGAGGGCGGCGAGATGACGGGCTGACGACGGCTGTCTTGATAGACTATTTCTTCAAACCGTTTACGTTTTCTTGGTCTAATGTTTTCTATTTTCTGTCGTCTCCAGCATGCATGCTTAGGCTCGGTTATTTTGGACTATCATCTGCATTTTTTTTTTTTTGGTTCAAGAGATATATCAGGCGTTCTGCACCCTCGAGAGCAGAGGCAGGGCACTCGGGTCGGAGGCCGGTTATTTTCCATTGTTTTTCATAGTATGATTCATCGTTCCTGGGCATAGGATGTGTCTGTGCCCTGTTGCTCTCTGCTTACTGAAGCACGGCAGATGTGCAAAGGTGTACCGTCATGGCCTAACGTCGATATGTGGTGCTGCATGACAGCCTGGGTTGTGGTGGATATGAGCGTTCGGCATTGCGGAGCAAAGGGCAAAGGTGTGTTTTTTCTCATCACCTAGGAAAATACGGGTTGTGTAGGTGCTTACACTTTGGGATGGTGATGGGTGGGTGTTACTGATGCTAGGGCGGCGATGTTGGCGGGTTATTGTTATTTCTTTTGTATATATATACCCTCAATATTGCACAAACGACGTGTATTGCCTGGATACTCTGATGTGGTATCTTGGGCTGTTACTATTCCAAGTCAAACGCTACGAGAACGACTCTACTGAGACGTCCTGTCCGATGATAAACGCATCACTCTTGGGGTTGGTTCTCAACCTCGTCAAAAAGAGGGCTCGATTTACTATTTCGGCTTTGCCTACGAAGTTGGTATTCATGAACATACATGGGAAGGACTCTTTCCTCCGCCAAAGGAGTGCATGGTTTTTTTTTTTTTTTTTGCTTGGGGCATCGCTGCTAAGAATTCTTCGCCTTCCCTTCCGCTCCCGCCGCCGCCCCGGCTCCGGCCTCCTCCTCCTCTCTGGCCTTTGCGGCGCGCAAGTCGCCGAGTCTGAGCTGGTTGCGCTTGCCAAGGATGCGCAAAGTGTTCTGGCGCTCGATGTCACTCATCTCGGCCCAGTTGGCGATGCGGGACATGGTGCCGTCACGGTTCACCACCATGGGGCCCAGGTGGTCCAGCGTCACGCTGCCCTGTCCGCTGCTCAGGTCCAGCTGGTGCGTGGGGGCGTCGTCGCCGCTGCCGGGTTCCGGGAGGGCAGGCAGCTTGGCGGCGGCGGCGGTGGTGGTGGTGGTGGTGGTGTCCTCGGATGCCATGTTGCTGTCTCCCTGCTGCCCTGTCGCTGGCGGTGGCGTGCTTGCGGGGTCGGATGAGGTGGTGTGCAGCCGCCGGTTAGGTGTGCCGTGGAGGGTGGGATGGGCGTTGCTGATAGGGGAGGAGGTGGCGGCCCGAACCCCTGGCAGGTATGCCTGTCTTGTGGACGCTGTTGCAACTGCTCGGCCGAGCAGGCGGAGGGGGGCTCTTTGCATGACCCGGTCCTAGCCGTTCTGTGATTCTGTAGGTACGTTCGGATGGTGGAGAGACCCGATTGTCCTTTGTCTCTTTGTTTTATATGTCTGCCGGTTATGGGTGGTGTTGGCGCTGCGTTTTCACCGACGTTGAAGGATTGTCACAAATGGATGTGGAGAACGACATGAGAGCTGCCGAGTTGATTGATTGGCCTCGGCTCTGGGCGGCAGGCATCTGGCGTCTTCGACGGGTTTCGCTCGCTGACTTTTCAGCGCCAGGAGTTTCTACGAACTCAGCACCAAGTACAGGGCACTGCACCAGCTCTCACAGAGAGGCTAGGTATGGAAGAAGATGCCAGCAACCGGTTAGAATCGGCAAAATTGAGAGGGCCCAACACTCTTCACAAGCACTCTGTCCCTCCCTTACATTTTTGCTCCGCGGAGGTGATCTCGACGCGGCGAGTTTTGAACCTCGTCTGGATTCGTGGGATGCCCACTATCAACGCTCCGGTGTGTTCAGGCTTGACGAACAAAGCGGACCGTACAATATTGTTGACCCCCACGCGACAATGCGACTTTCAAAGGATCGCACCAAAAAAGATGGACGAAGGATACTGCAGTAACACGCCCGAACCAATCGTAATTCTGCCACGAGCAAAACGGGGTGCTTGGAGGTGTGCCGGCGATGGAGCCGGTGAACCGATATTTATAGGGCGTGGTCATCCCACGGCGCCATGGGATCTCGTCATTATCCTTGTCGCTTGCGAATTGTGAGCGCTGGGGTCTCGACCACATACTCCTTCTGCCGCTGTCTCCCACCTAAGAGATCGACACGTTGCGTCAGGAACCAGCCAATGAGAAAAGTACCGAAGCCGTGGGTTGCTTTGTTAGCTTCGCCGTTCCCTTTTTTGTTTTTATTTTTATCAAAAGCCCATCCACGCCCGCGCCTTGCTCTGCAACAGGCAGTGGCCCGTTGCGATGTTGGCAGCAGGAACGAGCAAACCGGGCTTGCCATACCACGCACGCCATGGATGTATCTATGAGGGTCCAACGGCGACGGGCGCGGCGTCTTCGCGCCGATGGACGCATGGCCACATGCGGGGTCCCGTACTAAGAAAACTGGAACCGCAGCGCTGCCAACTGCGAGATCCACCCGCGGGAGCTTTAGCATACGTATCAGACTGAAGCTCAATTTGGCAGATAAGAGTGTGACTTTGGAGGTTAGATGTCAGTCTGCGCGCGGGTCGGCCCGATGGAGGAGCCAAGTCTGTGAATTGCGATCCATGGTTTGCTTATCAAGTCTAATCCTCGGGAGAAAGACACCGCTCACCGAATCAACCCTTGCGTAAGCAATCACCAGTGGGTAACCAGAGTAGGTAGAAAATCTTGCCGAGACGGTCAAGTCCACGTGAGTGAATAGACGGCCCTTCTCTCAGGGCGTTTCCCTTTGTAGTCTGAAGAACAAGAGAGCATATTCCGGCCGTCTCTGTCGGTATTTCCCTCTTCCGTCTGACTGCTTTCCTTACCAGCCTAGGCGGATTCCAGCCCCACCATATTTTGTAAAACCCGCAAAAGGAGGGGCATGGGTGGGCGTATGCCTTTCTGCCCCGGCGACTCCTCTTTGTTCGGTCGATATAGACACACAATACTTTGAAAATGTCAGCTAGAGCTCTCAAGACACCCAAAGAAACGCTTCCTGATCACTTCCTGGTATAGCGGGCGGCCGAGAGGGAGAAGATCGAGCGCGATTTGTCATTGAAGAGTTCCTAAGCAGCGCTGACGTCCACGTCGAGCTCCTCGAGGATCAGCTGGCTCAGCGACGAGCCGTCCCTCAGGTAGATCCAGTCACCCGAGGCTGTGCCCTCCTTCTCGGCCTGGCCGTCGCCGATGACGACCCAATCATAGCGCTTGGGGCCCGTGATGGGAGACGAGAGCCAGATTTGCTTGTTGGGCGGCTGCTTGTTAATCACGTAGGTGCCGTTAGGTGGGAATGTGAGGGTCAGGACGCCGGCCTGTTTGTCCATAAGAGTCTCAGTAAGGGCTTTGAAGAGCAAAAAAAGAACAATGGCAAAAACAGTACTGGGCCTTACCGAGAACTCAACATCGACCTCAGGCCTCTGGTCCTGCAGATCCTCAAATTTTCCGAGCACGCCTTCGAGGTACTCGTCGGCGAGCTCGTGGTACTCGGCATCCTCGAGCGGCGCAGCCGTCATGACCGGCGCGGCCTTGAGATCTTCGTCGGATATCTTTGGCGGAATCGGGTTCTCCGACTCTGGCGATAGGCCCTTGCCGCGGCTCGAGCTGGTGCCCATCCACCTAGCATGCGCGCTGGCCGTGGCAGGGATGGCGGGTGAGGTGGCCTTGGCGGCGGCCGTCGCTGTCCTCGCGGCGTTGCTCGCCGGCCGCAGCATCGTCATCGGGACTCTGGCGAGGAGGCCACGGCGAGTGGCCGCGCGAATGATGGCGCTACTTGGGCCGGCCATTTTGTGTAGTGTTGGTTGGAGAAGCGTGGTGGAGGTAGTTGCGGCCGAGCTCGATTCTGGCGATAAAAATGCAGCGGGAGCCGCCGTGGCCAAGTGAATCGTCTGATCAGTGATGAATGGTGGGGGATATTGAAGCAATGGGATCGGGTCGAAGTCAATTAGAACCAGGCGAGGCGGTTGAGAATGGGGAGGAGCTCCGAGGTTGAAAAGCAGGGCGAGGGTGCGATGAAACGCCGTCCATTCGTGCGTTGCTAAGCTCCAGCGCTAATGCCACCCCTCGAGGTCCTGATCAACCAACTGGAGCTTGGGGCAGGCCCCACTATTCAGACTGCATGCGGCGGAACCCCACCACTGAAAGGGACCACCAAGCTTGGCCAGCCTTGACCTGGACCGGACAACTGATGCGACCACCATTGCCGCCGACAAAAAGGTCGAAGAGCAAGATGATAAACGCGTTCCTGGTCTTCAACGGCCAGGGCCAGCCTCGGCTGACCAAGTTCTACACGCAGCTGGTGAGTCTCGCGCCGTACAGACTCGAGCAAGGCCGCCCCCGCTGACGCAAGCCTGGGGCTCCCGCGCTAGGACACGAGTATGCAGCAGCGCCTGATCAGTGAGATCTTCACCCTGGTCTCGAATCGGCCCTCCGGGTCGTGCAACTTCCTGCCGCTGCCGCCGCTGCTGGCCGCGTCGGCCGGCGCCGCGCCCGACCAGCCGCAGCAGGGCGACGCGCCGTCGCTGGTGACGTACCGCCACTACGCTACCCTCTTCTTCATCGTCATCTCGACCACCACCGAGTCGCCCCTGGCCCTCATCGACCTGATCCAGGTCTACGTCGAGTCCCTCGACAAGCTGTTCGAGAACGTGTGCGAGCTCGACCTCATCTTCAACTTTGAGACGCTGCACGCCGCCCTGGGCGAGATGATCATTGGCGGCGTCGTCGTCGAGACTAGCCTCGATCGCATTGTCGCCGGCGTCCGCGCGCAGGGCACCGTCGCTAAGCGGCCCGTCAATGAGGGCAGGGGCGGTCTCGGATCTGGGCTGGGCATGGCTGTCTGGCACGGCAGGTGACATGCGACAGGGAGCAGCAGTGCTGCCGAACAGATGCTGGTGGTTTGACCTTCATCCCGCTTTCCAAACGAATCGATATCACGATACCACCTCTCAGGGGCAATTCCTGCACCTTTCGGGGACTACCCTCGGGTCTGCTGAGTGAGGATTATGCACACAGGGGGCCCGCATAGTCCAGCAAGTCCCTCGCCTAAGTGGGACAGGATATGAGAGATGAGGGATACCGCAAATATGTGCGGCTAATGAGACATTTGGGCAGCGCCTAAGCAGCCCAGGAAGGCCATCTTTCTGGATGACTCGGGTATGAACGCCGAAACTCCACGTCAACATGATAGTAATTGATTGGTTTATACACAGCCGCAACGGCAAGAAGAACCCCGACTATTTAGGCGGAGGATTTGAGCGGATTGGGCGTTCGCGGGTCATGGGCGTGTTGTCCTGCTCCGCTGGCTCGTCGAGTGTGCTGCCAAACATTTCCCAAAAGGTCCTCCGGATCTACACGAACATCATGGTTAGAGCACCTAAGCTGACATCAATGGTACAAATGCGCCCAGAACTTACGCTCAGGAAAGGATTGCTTGCTGGAGGGTCCCAACGCATGAAGAGAACGCCATAAACGGTGATGACTGCGGGCCATATATAGTTAGAGACTTGCGCGCCCGATAGGGAATGAAAATTGATACGGTAAGTTCCGGCATGACCGCCACTTCCTATTGACCCTCGAAACCTCCTGCCGAGCTGGCTTCATGTACAGGCAACAAAAATAAAGAGCAGAACTTACAAGTGACGCTGAACAGCTGGGTGAGTCTTATGATCTTATTCCACCGTGGCCTCGCAGAGCGTAGAAGGACCCTTCGCTTGTACTTCTTCTCGAACTTGAGTTTGGCCTGAGGGGAGAGCTTGGAGTAGTCTGGTGGCCACACCTTTTTCAAGGGACTGGTGCTTTTTGTAGCCGACTCAGCCAGTGGCTTTGTCGCAGCTGCTAGCCGCCTGAGGGTCGCGGCGAACATTGCGGTCAGGAATCTAGGTCGCGCACGCGTAGTGATCCTGATCTCCGTGAATGATTTCGCCTGCGATGGCAAATAGGTCTTTCTAAGACCGGATATCACCATGGAACGAGGTTGAAAGCACGTGCGTCCGCAATGACGAGAAAAAGGGACATGGCTCCATCCTGAGTTGGCTGGGTCGGGCCCACGCTAATCGATATGTGGGCTCTATGCATACCCCTGTCAATTGGCAGCACCCCGCGATTGTGTTGCCCCTCCAAAATTGTTGTTGTAAGCCGTGTCATAGCAAAGTCATTTTCTTCGTTCGGATCGCGTGAGTCAAGCTGCGGTAGAGAGAGGGCCTTGCAACAGGCGAAAATCTCCAAACGCAGACGGATTTTGGGTCCAACTCCCACCGACGTTCCGCTTCACGCTCGAGAAAATCCAGCAAACATCGAAGCAAGCCCAACGAGAAAACCGGCGCCATGTCGGCCACTACTCCCCTTCCCGCTGTGGAGGGGCTCCAGATCTCCAAGATGAAGGAGCTGAAGGGCGTGAGTCCAAGGTTTTGTGTGCGACTCCATTTTCTGTAACCGGCCGGGACTGATAGCGGCATCTTGCAGACCGAAAAACGATCTGCCTTGGTTGCTATCGAGAAGAAGTACCAACGGAAGTGGGAGGAAGATGGCGTATTCCACTTCAACGCGCCCTCGACCGCCGACTACCCTCTGGACTCGATCTCTCCCGCCGATCTGCGCGCCAAGTTCCCCAAGTTCTACGGCAACATCGCATACCCCTACATGAACGGTGTGCTGCACCTGGGACACTACTTCACCATGAGCAAGGTCGAGTTCCAGATTGGCTACAATCGCATGCAAGGCAAGCGCACATTCTGGCCCCAGGGCTATCACTGCACCGGCCTACCCATCAAGGCCTGCGCCGACAAGCTAGCCGACGAGGTCAAGAAATTTGGCCAGGAGTTTGAACGCTACAAGGAAGAGGAGGAGGCGCCCGCCCCCGAAGTCAAGCCTGCTGCCGGCAAGCGCGAGGACTTGACGAAATTCACCGCGACCAAGGGCAAGGCCAACGCGAAGACGGTCAAGAAGAAGTACCAGTTCCAGATCATGGAGTCCATCGGCATCCCCAAGCAGGAAATCCACCGCTTCGCCGACAGCCAGTACTGGCTCGACTACTTCCCGCCCCTGTGCGAGGCCCACCTCAAGGCCACCGGTTCCAGGATCGACTGGAGGCGGCAGTTCGTCACGACCGATGCTAACCCTTACTATGACGCCTTTGTGCGCTGGACCATGAACCGACTGAGGGAGGCCAACAAAATCAAGTTCGGCAAGCGTTACACCATCTACTCGGTCAAGGACGGGCAGCCTTGCATGGACCATGACCGCGGAGAAGGAGAAGGTGTCGGCCCGCAGGAGTACACTGCCCTGAAGCTCAAGGTGATAGAGTGGGCGCCCCAAGCCGCTGCTGCCATTGAGGGAAAGCTCCCCAGTGGCGCCGAGGTGTTCTTGGTCCCCGCAACTCTGAGGCCTGAGACCATGTACGGACAGACCTGCTGCTTTGTCGGTCCCAAGTTGAGGTATGGCGTGTTCAAGGCCGCTGAGAACCAGTACTACGTCATCACTGAGCGGTCCGCCAAGAACATGGCCTTCCAGAGCCTCCTGGACAAGGACATGACAGTCCCGGAGAAGGTTGCCGAGCTTGTTGGTTCGGACATGGTCGGGACGCTGGTAAATGCCCCCCTGTCTATCCATAAGCAGGTCCGGATCTTGCCCATGGAAACCGTCAAGGAGACCAAGGGCACAGGCGTTGTCACTTCGGTGCCCAGTGATTCGCCCGACGACTACGCTACCGTCATGGACCTTGCCAAGAAGGCCGACTATTATGGCATCAAGAAGGAGTGGGCCGAGCTTGAGATCATCCCGATTATCGATACCCCATCATATGGCGATCTCTGCGCCAAGTTCCTGGTCGAGAAGCTCAAGATTGCGTCGCCAAAGGATGTCAAGCCATTGACTGAGGCTAAAGAGCTGGCCTACAAGGAGGGCTTCTACCAGGGCATAATGAAGGTCGGAGAATTTGCCGGCGACAAAGTCGAGGTGGCCAAGCCCAAGGTTAGGCAAAGCCTGATCAACGACGGCCTGGCGTTCGCATACGCCGAGCCGGAGAACAAGGTCGTGTCGCGGTCTGGAGACGAGTGCATTGTTGCCAACCTCGACCAGTGGTACATAGACTACGGTGAGGAGTCGTGGCGCAAGCAGGCGCTAGAATTCGTGGCCAACGTTGACGGCAAGGGACTGGACACGTACAACTCGGAGACGCAGCATGCATTCAAGGGCTCCTTGAACTGGCTGAACCAGTGGGCCTGCGCAAGGACGTACGGGCTGGGCTCCAAGCTGCCCTGGGATCCCAAGTTCCTGGTTGAGTCCCTGAGTGACTCGACCGTATATATGGCATACTACTCCCAGGTGCCGTTCCTGCACAAGGATCTGTTCGGCCGCGTCAAGGGCTCTGCCAATATTGAGCCTGAACAGATGCTTGACGAGGTTTGGGACTACATTTTCTGCCGATGCGAGATGGACGACAAGCTCCTCGAGGCCTGCAAGATCTCCAAAGCAACTCTAGAGTCCATGCGCAGGGAGTTCCAGTACACATACCCCCTGGATCTGAGGGTATCAGGAAAGGTATGAAGCAAACCAGACATGTGGCGACATGACGGAGCTTGGCTAACACAGCATTTCAGGACCTTATCCCGAACCACCTGACCTTCGCCATCTACTGCCACATCGCCCTGTTCCCGCCCGAGTACTGGCCCAAATCGTTCCGTGTCAACGGTCACCTGATGATGAACGGAGAGAAGATGAGCAAGTCGACTGGCAACTTCATGACGCTGGATGAGGCTACCAAGAAGTTTGGCGCCGACGCTCTGAGGATGGCAATTGCGGACTCCGGCGACGGTGTGAACGACGCAAACTTCGACGAGGACGTTGCAGACAACAGCATTCTGCGCTTGTTCACCACGCGCGAGTGGATCGAGGAGACGGTCAAGAACATCGGAGACCTGCGGACGGGCGAGCTCAACTCGTTCCAGGACGCCCTCTTCAGCAACGAGCTGAACGTGTTGGTTCGCGAAGCCGAGAAGCACTACGGCGACACGGCCTACAAGCTCGCGCTGCAGTCGGGATGGTACAACTTCTCGAGCGCCATCAGCTTCTACCGCGAGGCTTGCACAGCGGAGGGCATCAAGTTGCACCGTGACGTGGTCCTGCGCTACGTGGAGCTGCAGGCGCTGATGCTGCTGCCCATCGCGCCGCACTGGGCCGAGTACATCTGGCTCGAGGTGCTGGGCAAGAAGGAGACGATCCAGAAGGCGCTCTGGCCCGAGGTGCCGGCTGCGGACCCGGCACTGACTGCGGCGCGCGAGTACGTCAAGATGACATCGTCAAACGTCAACTCGGCCGAGTCGGCGCAGCTCAAGAAGAAGGCCAAGGGCAAGGAGGTCTCGTTCGACCCGAAGCGGCCCAAGAAGCTGACCATCTTCACGGCGGAGGCATTCCCGGCATGGCAGCAGAAGTACATTGATCTAGTCAAGGAGTCGTGGGACAGCTCCAAGGGCGGCATCCGCGACGAGAAGGAGCTCTCGGCGCGCATCGGCAAGATGGGAGAGATGAAGAAGGCGATGCCCTTCGTGCAGGCCCTCAAGAGGCGGCTGCAAGCCGGCGAGAACGCCTCGGCGGTGCTGGAGCGCAAGCTGGCGTTTGACGAGCAGACGACGCTGCTGGCCATGGTGCCCGGCCTGAAGCGAACTGCCGGCTGCGTGAGCGTCGACGTCGTCGCCGTGACCGAAGGCAGCAAGAAGGGCAAGCTGCTGTCGGACGACAGCAAGATGGTGGACGTGACGGCCCAGGCCGCCGACGGGGCGGTTCCCGGCCAGCCAACTTTCTTCTTTGAGAACGTGGAGGCATGATTGTGCGATGATGGGATAAGGATGGCTGCGAGTGCAATATTGGGAACAGGGAAATTCCACATGTGTGGGTAAATGGAATGCGGCTCGGAAAGGGAAGCTATGTGCATGTCGAGCCAGATATTGAGGAACACGAGGAGATATGACAAGGGGGCTCACCAGGCTTGGTTGTACTGTCCTCCTGTCTGATGCATATCTCTCCCAGTTTCCCTGTGCGCTTTCCAAGTGATATTCCGGCTCGCTAGAGAGATTTCTGCTCTCCGTGCTAGAAAAGAGAAGAGGTGGCAATGATTTTCTTTGTTTTTTCTACCCGCCGCTTGATAACTGTAGGTGGCAAGCGACCACAAGGCTCCTCTTCCTCTCAACTGCATCCTCTCCCTTCCCGTGTCGTACCGTCGTTCCATCTGGTACAACGAGTAACGCTGGCCACTGAGGAAAGGAGGTGCCACTAGGGAGGACATGATGCAACCTCCAGGACTGTTGCAATTACTGTGCCCTCCTGGCGATCGCACTACAACCGTGTGGGAGGTTCTGTGGGAGACAGCTAGCCCCCCCTTTGATCATCTAGGTGCCCCCTTCGACTCTATGATTACGTGCCACCTCTCGGTGAGGCAAACGCTATTTAAGGGGCCTCCATCACGAACAACCTGCGTTATGCCATGGGGAAATCTCCCTGGCCACCCAGAAAAAAAAGGGAAGAAACGGAGGCGGCCTGTTTCGGTGCGCGCCTTGCCAGACCCTCGTGTGTCACCCTTTGTGGTCCGCAGCCGACCCCCTCCCCTAGCCTTCCGGATTCTGCGGGCAGGAGCCTTCCCCTGAGGCCGGCGCCGACTGCGTCCTTGGCGCACAGGAGTAACGTCGCGGGGGGCGGTTGGGGAGGGCGGGGCAGTTGTCCTCCTTTTGGCTGGTTGTTGACCTGCCACTGACTTGTCCTTTATGTCATATCCCGCCGAGTGATACCAGCTCACGACCCCCTCAGCCCATCCTTTGTGCTTTTTCCCACTCTTCGGGAGATTCGTTGTATAATGTCATCCCTTTTATTTCGGCTGGTACGAAACAAAAACACGATCAGTGGCACTTGAACACAGGGGGGGGCTTTCGCTTCTGAACCGGGTGCTTATTAGACGAGAGGGGCATCTCCCTCCCGCTGAGCTCCCGGGCTCTTATTCTCTTTTCTTTTCTCTCTCCTCTCGAACATCACCACCTTTGCGCTTTCTACATCAAGCTCCTTGGGTCTCCATACCACGTCCTCTCCTCGCCATTGGCAAATCCGGCAAACATCGTCAAACACCACCGCCCATACCATCCAAACACAGCGTTGGTAGAGCGATAGTCAAAAAAATGTTCCCCCGTCCCGCCCTCGTCCTCACGGCCGTCCTCCTCGGCACCTCCCCGCTCGCCGCGGCCGAGGCCAAGCAGGGGGCGGCCATGATGCACGAGATGGCGCCCGCGTCCACCACCATCGTGCTCACCCGGGGCGTCCATACGACCGTCGTGATGCCCCTGCCCACGGACGGGGAGCCGGAGGCTACTGCCCGTGAGTTTTTCTGCTTCCCTCCTCCCTTCTCCTTTCATGTCACCCCCCTTTAGTTCTCGCGTCGAACATTTCCCTGACGTTGAACCCACACACCCATAGCTGGCACGCCTGCGGTCGCGGCGCCCACGTCGTTTGCCGTCCCCATCCCCATCCCCGTCAGCACCGCCGGGGCCGAGCAGGTGGCGCGCGACGGCGGCTCCGTCCTGGGCGTGGCGGTTGCGTGCGGCCTGGGGCTTCTTGCCATGTAGATTCGGCGACGGTGTGGTTTCGGCGAAAAGGGTGCGGTGGTGGGAAACATGCTCACCCGTTTCTTTTGCGATATGGATACAGACATGACCGATAGGGGACTGGTGGACAAAACGGCGCTTGTCATTAATTAGGGGAGATATCAAACTGGCTATCTCTTCCGTTTTCGAAGATGGCTGTTCCCTGCCCCTTCCCCTAACTGTTCAGTAGCGGCGACCTTTAGGTTTTCTTCCTCGAGACGGAGCGTTATGCTGCCTCCCCTTGGTCGTTCCTCCCGACCCAGGCGCAGTCTCAGAAGCTAGGTTGAATCCAGCCTCGAATCCTCTGGCATTCCGGGACTTCTTCTCTTGCGCCCGGGCTCGCCCGGTAGATGCCTGGACAAGCCCTTCCCTCGTGGCACGATGAGGGTGTGATAGGGGGTCCGTGACACAAAATCACCCGACAACGGTAGCCCGTGGGTCCCGTCATCGACCGCAACCGACCACTGCTATCCAGTGATGAGGCAGACCCAAGCGCCCGCGATGTGCCCTCATTGTACATGGCGGCGCACCGTCCGTATCACCAAGGTCCCCAAGCCCACTTCCAGCAAAGGCGCCCGAACGGTAGCGCTTTCGGGAAGGGCCGCATGGCGGGGCGCTCAAGGCGCGGAGAGGGTAGGCTAAAAAAAAAAAAGCATGCGCTGCGCTCGCTTTCAGAGTCACATCACTCATCAGGCGGCGATAGGGACAGGCGCAGGAGGCTCGGGTTCTTTGGGTTCTTGGGGCTTGGGGAGGTTGTCCTGTAGACGAGAAGAAAACAAGTCAGAACAGATTCGTCTCAGTCATTGTCCGAATAGCCGGCCGAGGGAGACGCACAACTTCATAAATGACCCGGATCATCAAGCTGCAGCTGGGACAGACGGCGATGTCGGTCGAGCTGTCGCGCAGGTCGGCCAGGGCAATCTCGAACTTGTCGCCGCAGGGGCAGGGGTAGTGGTAGATCTGCAGGGCGTCGTCGAACGTCATGTCCTCGATCTCCACCTCATCGTACACTGAGATCTCCTCCTCGTCGGCCATGGTCGTTGTTTCGGCACTGGCTGGCCTGGTTGGCTGTTTCTGGATGCTGGATTCGCAGCCACGCCAGCGACCAAAAAGAAGATGATGGTTCTGAACGAGGGGCAAAACGTGCGGCAGCCTGATCGAAGAGGGGTAGGAATGACGCTAAAACTTTTTTCACAGTTTCCCCGGCGCTTCTTTTTTAACGCTAAACCTTTTTTATCGGTCTATGGCAAAGGCCAAGGTCGCATTGAAAGTCATCCGCCTCGCTCATCGATCATGTGACTCCGCGTCGGAGAATGACGTCGGTTTCCGAGACGGATCAGCGTGGCGCGTGCACAGCACACCATTCCAACCCCCCCTTTACGTTGCGCCCGCCATTTCATTCTAATCCACGACTACATATGTAGCTGGTCTTCCGAAATTGCCTTATTACTCCGTTTCCTACCGATCAAGAACCGGTGCCCGTATTAGTTGCAAATACCCATATTCCAAGCACTTGACGCATTCGCCTCTAATCAGTAATGCCTTCCATCGGCACCAAACGCAAGCGTGATATCGGGGTCGGTCCGGAAACGACTGAAAAGAAACGGAGCGCCAGGGTCACCAAGGTAGTTCTCTACCCAGCCAAAAGAGATGCATCCAAGGCACCCACCGTCATGACAATATCACACGACGGCGACAACCCAACACCCAACAGCACCGACACCCAACCAGACCCCAACCCAGCCACACCACCCCTATCCACACTCGCGTCCACAATCCACAACGGCAACACAGGCTGCCACGGCGACCTCGAGCGTCAGCAAGCCCTATCCCTCATCGACGCGGCCGCCACCGCGCGCGACAGCACCCCCTTCGAGCGGCGCGTGTGGCGGCTCCTGGTCCAGATCCCGCGCGGCCGCGTCTCCACCTACGGCGCCCTGGCCGCGCACCTGGCGTCGTCGCCGCGCGCCGTCGGCAACGCCCTGCGCCGCAACCCCTTTGCGCCCCTCGTGCCCTGCCACCGCGTCGTGGCGACCGGCGGCGGGCTCGGCGGGTTCAAGGGCAAGGTGGCGCGCCGCGACGGCGAGGGGGACACTCTACGCGAGAAGAGGGCGCTGCTAAAAGGGGAGGGGGTCGGGTTGGATGTTGCTGGGGGGAGGGTGGTTGGGACGCCTTGGGATGCGTTTGTAGGGTAGTGTGCGTATTAAGTAGCTACTTTGTATGTTGTTGTTTAAAATAAATGTGTTGTGTTTAAGGAGGCGTTTTTTTGTTTTTTGCTTGCTAATGTGCACGTTCGCGATATTGGAATTTGGGTGCACGCCAGGTGGTTAGGCGGCAGTTACGGGATTGGCCACCGTGCAACACGCACCTGCCTCGTCGACACGCACCTGCCTCGTCGACACGCACCTGCCGTGCCTTCCTGCGCCTAAAACTTATAACTATTCGGCGTGCTCCATGTCGGCATCGAATACCAAAGGACGCCAAGTTGGTGTAGCGGTTATGAGGCTGGGTCGAGTCGACACCGGGACCCTACCTGTACTCCGCTGCAATAGCCGCTTGGGTTCTGGGTTCGAGCCCCCGTAGGGGATCGAAGAAACAGCCCAAGTGGGAGGTTTCGTAGCTGCCCACCCTCGAGGTTGGGCAGTCAGCTTTTTGATTTCCTTTTGCATGCTATATTTTTTTTTTCCGCCGTAGCAAAAACGCACAAGGCCGCTGCGCATGTATTTACATGTTGGCAGCACTCGCATAGCTCACTTCAACCCTCACACTATTCACTTGGCACAAAAAAAGTTTAGGTTATAGCAGAAGCAACGCTTGGACCGTTTTATTGTGTCTCTGGTCCGGGATATCATTCAAAGCGAGACATGTAGCTACCTATCCGGCACCTGCGCTCAAACAAATGAGGGACGAAGAAAGATGCGCAAAAGACAAGAAGTCGCCTCGCAGCTTTGGCGTGTTGTATCCTGTAACCGCCACGGCTGGGGATAACCAACACACACTATCAGAAAACATAGTATGGGGGAATAAACGGCTTATAAAAATACAAACAAAAAAAAGGAAAAGATAGTGTGGCGGGGAAACAAACACACGAGCGCCTAGTCTTCCCTGAAAGGAAGCTTGGTCCTCGGCTGCATCATTGGTCCGCCGCTGGTGGGCTTGGGAAGCCGCCCGACGGCCGGCCTATTGATGCTGTTCCCGCTGAGGGGGTTCCTAGGCATGGTGCCAAAGGGGCTGACGGCGCCGGCCTTGAGCCACTGCTGCAGGCTCGGCGGCCTCGACCCGCGGCTGCTCCTCTTGTCGGGAGGGAAGCCGGGGCTGCCGGGCCCGGACGTGGCGGCGGAGCTCTTGGGGAAGATGGAGAACTTGGCGACCGCCGGCGGGTTGCCGACCACGGCCCCGGGGCTGTCGTAGATGCTGCTGCTCCGGTTGGCCGCGTACTGTGTGGTTGCGCCCGAGTTGCTGTTGCTGGCCGCGGCCAGCGCCACCGGCGGCTTGACGTCGCGTGGGTAGCCGCCGACGTTGTACGCCGGTGCCGGCATGCCCATGGGGGCGGGGCCGGCGGGGGCGTCGTTCCGTCGCATGAGGTTGTCGGTGCTGCCGTATGCGGCGCCCAGGCCGCTCTCGGTCTTGCGGAACTGCGTCGGCGCCGAGATTTTGCGCCTGACGCCGCCCACCTTCTTGCTGTCGCGGTTCCTGTTGCGGCAGCGCAAGATGAGGTAGAAGACTGCTATGCTGAGGAGCGAGGACGCGATAAATGTTCCAACCACGGCGAGGGCTGCCTGCGTCACCGAGACGGCTGCGCCCTGTGCCTGGGAGACCTGCGTGTTCGCCTCGGTCTTTTTGGATCGGGACAGACGTCTGTTAGCATCACTGTAATCGTGTTTCAAGTGTCAAGCAAGGCTGCACATACCCGAGCGAGAGTGGCGTCAGCCCGCGCCGCCTCCACTTGGCTGGCGGCTTGGTCCTGGATACGAGCCGCGTCGCGGCTGGCCTGTGCCATGGCCGCGTTCGCACTACTCGAGGCGCTGGCCAGGGCCGACGAAAGGGCGGAGCTGGCGCTGCTGGACACGCTCGCGATGGCGCTCGAGGCCGACTGTGACGCGCGGTTGGCGGCCTCGCCGGCCTGGCGGGCGTTGTCCTCTGCGCGGCGGGCGCTCTCCTGCGCCTGCCGGGCATCGGCCTGGAAGCGCGCCGTCGACTGCGACAGCTGCTGGACCGACTGCGACAGCTGCTGCGACGCCTGCGACACGGACCGCGACGCCTGAGTGGCCGAGTCGAACGACTGCGACAGTCGCTGAATCTCCCCGCTCAGCGCCTGGATCTGGCCGTCGTTCTGGCGCCGACCTAGCGCGTGGCCGCCGGCCAGGCATGGCGGATACCTCGGCCCTGGGGTGATGAGCGGATCCGGTGCCGTTGCGGCGGCGTCCTCCTCCTCCTCGCTTTCCCGTTTACTCGTCGTCGGTTCGTCCTCCGAGTCCCTTCGTTGGTAGGCATGTCTCCTCTCGTGACCCAGTGCTAGTGCCCTCGCGGCCTTCAGATCTTGCTCCTCTTGCTCCTGGCTTGATGGTGATGCTGCCGGCCCCGGTCCGACTGCCCAGCGTCTCAAACGCTCCATAACATCCACGACCGGCACTTGGAGCTCGCCACTGTCGCCGCCATGTCTTCTCGATATCGGTTGCAGTCCCGTGACATCGCTGTCCCGTGCCACCAATATGCTGCCGCTCGCGGATGGCAGTATTAATAAGAGGGACAGTAAGCCGAGCCGCATCATTAAACGCCGTTTCGACAGTGTGTTTGTTTCCCTCGCCACCATCTTTGCGTTTGGTTTCCCGCCGCGGGGACAACCAACTGGGAGAATGGGAAAAAAGGGGGATAGCACGAAGTGAAGAAAACCCGGGTTGGTCTGCTGTCAATCTTTACGCGGAACAAAACAACCAGGTCAAACTAGCCGTATTAGAATAAGCGGTAGCAAAGAAGAAGAGAAAACATGTGTGCAATCATCTCCCCCTGGTTAAAGCGGTCGACGATAGGGCATCACGAAAGAAGAGAATAGGCAAAAAAAGAAACCGGCATGGCGAAAACAGCAGCAGATCATAGGGTAATAGGGAAGAATAGAAAGAAGAGACACCGGCAGACCAGGGGAAAGCGGCCTAGATCAGACGATGGGTGGCATGGTCAGAGGGAGACGGCACGCGAGGGGATGCGCCAAGCGGAAGCGAAGATCCCGACCCTGTCAACGGTCCCTCAATGCGCGCCCGAGGGTGCCAGGACGGACGGGCTACTGGCCCGCCAGCGAAGTTCGCCTATCGCATCCCGTTGCCCTCTGCGAGGGCCAGACGGCGGCCACCCCCATGGCGATGGGGTGGGGGAGGAGGAGGGCCCAAGGATAAGCTCAGCCGTTGTGAGCCGCATGCACAGGGGTTTGCTGACAGGGGGGGGCCAGCCAACACGCACGCATTCTCAAGGTTTCCAGCGAGGGACAGGACATGACAGAGAGGGGGGAGGGAACGTTCGGTGTGCGGGAACGTCGGCCCAATGGCCTGCTTGCGACCCACGATCCGCATCGGTGAGGGACGAGCATGACCTGGCATGACAAGGTCGCAGAAAGGCGGGTCGGCGAGGGGGCCAGGTGCTGCCTGTCAGGCCGCTGCCCATCAAAGGCTGGACTGCACGGCTGTGGATGAGGGACCCCCAGAGGTGCTTGGCACCCAACCCAAAACCTAATCGGCAATTGGAGAGCGTCGAAGTCGGGAGAGGCGGGCGAACCTGAGGAGCACAAGCTCCAAAAGATTACATTGATTGATGCGGGGCGCCCCGCGACTGAGAGTTACCGAGGGAGCGGCAAGCAGCCACTCACTGAAAACAAAAATCAAGACTGCCAAATACTTTTCCTTACCCAAACTCTATAGCAAAAAAACATCAAAACAAATTCAATCAATTCAATTGCAGTATGCCAAAGCACCATAACACGCCCAAAAAAAAGCACGGACCCAGGCCATTGCTAATTAATTTAATTCCAATCCAATCCCTTACTATAAACTCGATTTTTTAAATGCTGGCTATTTTTTCTGGTGGTGTTAACTGACTTTGAAATGGAGCCTCTTTTTTGCGGTCTTGATTTTTAGTTTTACCTAGTGGGTGGCAGCCCAACCTGGCCACCTCAAAGCTCGCGTGGGCTTTAGGCACGACCCAGGCACAATTGACCAGGCCTCCCCTGCAGCCCCTTGCAGAGTCGCAGCCCTTGTCTGAAGTGAAGCAAAAGGCCCCCACTGCGTTCACCAAGAGCGGGCCCCCCACATTCTGACAGCTTCCTGGGCTTGCGATTCGCGCACCCGACCCAAGCAGAAACACGGGGGGCCCTGGCAATTTCGTGGTTCGGCAACTTTTGAGCCTTGATTTCCGGACCACTATTCTTCCCGCCTCGTCAGGTCCGGGCCGCACGACGCGCTGCACGTCGTCCGAAGTTCGTCTCCTCCTCCTTGGACCGGACGGCACTCGAGAGGAATCATTACGGCTCTGCCCGGGCCCTGTGCCTTTTGCAGCACGCCACAAGGAAACCACGGGGTGGGGATGGATTTGAATTTTATTCTTAGTGCTGACAGCTCCGTTCGCTATCGCTTTTACTTTGAGGCTGATCTTCAGCTGTGGTGTCACCAACGTATTTCCCTGGGAGGGTGGTGGCCATGAGACGCACATTAACATCCGGCGGCACCACACTTCACTTCCAGCCGCGCACGACAACCTCTCCGCCTATCCATCTAGGTACCAGTCAATTTATAGACACTCAGTAACAAGAATCCAAAAATGTTGTTTCCAATACGACTTTTAGCCCAAAGAGGATAACCGTCTGTCCTAAATAAACTTCCAGCAAAACATGCCAACAAGTCGTGAACCAAGGATGAAAGGCCTCGGTCAGGGGTGCATGTCTTGGGGGCCTGGTCCCCACGCCGGTGCCCCTCACTCCCCCTCGACGACACCCCCGGCTCACCGTCCAGCACTCTCAAACCAGGAACGGACTAGGGCACACCCACCCAGGCACCCGGCCCCAAAGAACTGCATCTCTTTGTTTGTTTGGTGCCGGAGGAAGTGCATAGGTACTAGATAACTCGAGAGGGGCCCGTCCGCCTACCTACCTATGCTGGTCGACCTGGAGGCTTTTTAAATGCCCATCTGGAAACATGTGTCTCGTCAATCGTTTTTTTTTTCCCCCATAGAGTTCTAATTCCGGCACCATAACGATCGACAGGGGCAATCAACCCCCCTCGCAAACCCCGAAAAGTCCGAGTGGCCTCAGGCGAACGAGTTGGAGGCGCAGCAGCACGAGGTCAGAAGGAGGGGAAGAGAGGGGAACGGCCAGCTTGGCCATTGGCACCTTTTAGGTGAAGCTAAATCCCTGGCCCATGCGCACGCAGGCCATATAAACCCCCCTCTAACTATTCTTATGTCCCATCGCATATCGCAGTCTTCCCGCGTTCCGGTGCGAGCCGCAGACCACACAAAGCCCAGAGGTTATGTATAGTCTTGCTCACATATACACCTTATTCTCTGCCGTGCTCCCGGTCTCACCCTATCCTGCATGTGCGCGCATGGCACGACGGCGTCGGTGCGACCTAGGTGTCATGAGGGAATCCGAGGCGCACTCTGGTAGATCAATGGCGATCCTGACAGGTTGTCTACGATCACCGAGACCGATTCATTCATGCCACTGCGAATGTTTCCTCGCTTTGGAGCCGGCGTTGCCGAGGGAGGATGTGACATGATGAGCTGCAGCGGGAGTGCAAGTCGAGTCGTACCAAGGCCGGTACCCGTGCTCTCGTCACTCGATTGTTTCCGCCTCTTTGTGCCTCAGCGATCGTCTACCAGACAGATGCCCATCCTCAACGACCGCCATAACAATCTTCATGCCGGAAACACGTCAAACCGAAACAGCGTGATGAAATAAAATGGTATATCAAACCAGATACATGCTTTTTAAGGCTCGAGTTTTAGTATGTTCAAGAATAAAGTCGACAGAGAAAGAAACAGTGACAGAGCACGAAGCAGGCGTGCTCCTGGACAAAAAAGGTATCCCATAGACCACAACACCGTTTTTGACCATCCGAGACGACAAGAAGCAAGAGGTCCCCATCGCCTCTGCTCTCCCAGAAAGTCGGTGTAATCAGCTGACGGATCGATGACAAACAATGAAAAGAAACCGGCTATGATATCCCTCCATCCCTCTCAAAACGCCGAAAATGCGCTCCCCTGTGAAACTGCCTCACGGGGCTTCTGCAAACAAGCCGTGTGAAATGCGTGACCCAACCAGAAATAGCGCCAATCGGACATTTCTTTACTCAACGGCATCGCTCCCCTTTCATTTTCCACTTTACTTGGACCGCATATCCCACACAAACATGCTCGAATCCAAGTATTCGCTCGAAACCGACGGCTGGTGTCTGTCTTGGTTGGCGTGGCGTGGCGTCATCTGAGGCTTCTTGAAAATATAATCGAGACACCAATCCACTTCCCTGCATCTCGGCCCTTCGGTTCTTCAGTCGTCCTCTCTCCCATTTTGACGCTCATCATCCCGTCATCTTTACACGGGCAGCTTGAACTTCTGGCCCTTCCAGACCTTCTGGTAGTATATCCAAAAGAAGTCGCTGTACAGGACGGTCTGGATGATGCCGGCGATGATGGCGATGTAGTCGACGCTGTGCTCGGGCTCGGTGAAGTAGCGCCAGATCCAGTTGGGGATGTAGAGGGCGCGGTAGGCGCCGAGGGCGAAGAGGTAGTGGGTCGTGATGGTCTCGGCCTCGCCGGTGCGCTGCAGCATGAAGAGCTGCGGCAGGATGGCCACCGACTCGAGCCAGATGCTGAAGGCCCAGAGCATCTCGCGGATGGTCCAGTAGTATGGGAAGACGATGGCCATGACGGCGGCGCCGCCGAGCAGGTACCGGACCCGGAAGGTGTCGACATTGGGGTCGTTGGTCGGCTTGTAGGCGTTGGTCATGAGGTAGATGATGTAGCCCTGTGCCGAGATGAAGAGGATCTTGAATATGACGTTGTAGATGCTCTTTGTGATGAAGAGGTCTGTTGGGTTTGCGCGGCAGTGCCCATTGGTTAGCAGGGTCGCAGGCAACAGGAGATAACCAGGGGCCAGAGGAGGCTCTGGGCACACATACCGAGATATCTCGAGACGTAGACAATGAGGTATAGAGTTTGCGACTTGAACGAGATGCCGGCGCAGCTCTGGAGGGGTCAGGGTTAGCCTGGGCAGCGTCCCCGTGGTACAGAGGTGGGCTTTGATGGGGGAGGGGCGATGGGCTGGCACGAACATTGAGCTGCGTCATCTTGTGAAGGAGGATGAGGATGGAGGCGAGGTGGGAGAAGTCCCCTAATGGCATCAAAGCCTGTCAGTCGCATTGTCCCCTCTCGTTTGCTAGTTTGCGCATCGTTGCTAGGCTTCCTATCCCAGATTCAGCTGCTCCAGATCGAGACGTACCCAGGACGCGGAACAGGTTGAGAGGCATCTTGGTCAGCTTGGTCGCCGCTGTGCGGGCGCTGGCTTTGTTCAATCAATCGTGTCCGCCTATACTGGCCGTCGGCGGTGTCGCTGCTGGCGTCGAGGGGGGGGCGCGTCCGTCGTCGAGCACGGCGCGCAGGTCTGCTTGGTTGCAGCTGTGTGGTTTTGGGGGAAAGGACACGACGCGATTAGCCTCCCATTGGACCCCCGTTTCAGACGGGCAAGACAGCTCGAGCGGGCATCACAGCCACACATTCAGCGCAGCCGGTAATAGCAGCTGGGCTCCACAGTGGTTCCTTTTGCCGGCAGTCCTTACGTAGCTGGACCCACCACGGGACCTTGTTTGTAACCTTTCGAGCTCCCTTTTTGACACATGAAATCGAACGCCGCAGTGAACATGATTACAGTACCACTAGCTTTCAGGCCAGCCAGTTTGATTTGTGGCTGAGTAAGGTGCCTTGTTGTGAAAAGAGAACAGCTTGCCTGCCATCCTGCCATTCCAAGTTTAGCGGTCAGATCATCTGGTGGCAGCACAACGCGTGTCTTACATTGAACTGACAGTGATTGATTGACGTGGACCGAAGGCGATGGATGACCGTGGACAGCGGGAACCGAGCGCTGACAAAGCAGCCTTTCCCAACTTGGGCTTTGCCATCATGTGCTGAGCATGCGACGACGACTTAAAGAGAGATACCTAGTCAACCATTTCCATGATGTTTGCGTTTGAAGCGTCGGATTCATTCATCAGCTATTTTAATATAAAAACCCACTCAGAAGCCTGTTTCCACCACTAGTAGCACCCCTTCACATACCGCGACAAAACCGTTAACATGTCGGGCAGCCCCGAAGCCCAAAACGCAGACAAAGGCAAACAGGCCGGGGGTGACCTCATCTCAGTCACCGTCACCCTGGGCACCCAAACCAAAACTTTCACGTTCCCGGCCGACGATAGTACAGTCGACGACCTATCAGACGCGTGCGAGGAGGCCTTTGAGGACGCCTCGGGCGCCAGAAAGTACAACTGGTCGACGCACAAGTTCATCGCCCCGCAGCCTGTCGGGCTCCTCAGGGGGGCCGAGCAGGGCGCCACCCTACTCTCCCAGTCGCTGGCCGGCAAGAAGGTGCGCCTGATGGCCAGCCGCCTCGCCGACGTCGACGCCCTCCGCGCGGCCGAGGCCTCGGCCCGGGACAGGGACGCCAGGAGGGCCAGCGCCGCCCAGGCCGCCCGGCGGCGACGGCACCAGACGTCATCTCTAGCCAGCCGACCCAAGTCGACACAGCAGTCGGCCGGCGGCGGCGGCGGCGGCGGCGGCGGTGGCAGCTCCACCTACACCTTCCTCAGCCTGCGCCCGCTCCCCCACCTGCCGCGGCCAGAGGCCAGCCTCCGCTTCCTGGAGCGGCTGCGCGACGACCCGGGCGTGCGCGCCGTCATGGAGAAGCGCCGCTTCACCGTCGGGCTCCTGACCGAGATGGACCCGGCCGCGCACACGGACGTGTCGCACGACGGCGGCGTCGGCCGCACCCTCGGCCTGAACCGCAACCGCGGCGAGGTCATCGAGCTGCGCCTCCGCACCGACGCCGGCGACGGCTACCGCGACTACCGCACCATCCGCAACACCCTCTGCCACGAGCTCGCCCACAATGTGCACGGGCCCCACGACAGGGACTTTTGGGACCTGTGCCACGCCATCGAGCGCGAGGTCGCCGCCGCCGCGGACTGGAGGGGCGGCGCCGGCCGCACCGTCGGCGACGGGCCGGGGTTTGACGACGAGGAGGATTATGCTCACGACCACGGCGGCTGGACAGGTGGCGAGTACGTCCTCGGCGGCGGCGGCGGCGGCGGTGGCGGCGGCCCCGCGGCGCAGGATCTGACCCGGCGGGAGATACTGGCCAACGCGGCCGAGGAGCGCCACAAGCGCATCGCGCGGGAAAGGAGAGAGGCTAAAGGAGCAGGTGAGACCCCGGAGGCGGGAGAGGGGGTAGAACCACAAGAGACCGGGAAGAGGAGAGAAGGCGAAGGAGAGGAGAAGCGGCGGCAGAGCTGAGGTCAGTATGTGTATCATGTCGTATTATGGGCGAAGAAGCAAGCATCGCGATAGCCGCATCTTGGGCGACGGACCGGCCATGTACAAATACATGCACCCTATTCTACGCCGGGGTCGAGATATTGTATGCCTTGTCTCCCTTTATTCATGTTTTAGCGACGCGCCGTGCTGAGCATGGCGCACACCCTCCCGCCTATATCCCAAGACGCCCTTGCTTAAGTGGAGATTATATAAGAACATTTCTTATACTGCCAGCTTATATAGTGCAAGTGCGTGTCGACACATTGCAACCCGAAGCGAGTGACACGTGCACTAGGTCGAATGCGCCGTGCCAGGTCACAGTCACACCAAGTCAGCGCCGGAGAACGGAGGACAGCACACAAACACACACACGGGGCCGGCTGCGTGCGTGTCGCAGCCAGGACGGACGGGCTTTCAATTCAGGGGCTGCGGTGTAGCCCGAAAGGG